ATTAAGAGACAGTGAGTACCTAATAGTTTATTGTTTATTTTGGCTTTATGTATGAATTGTGGATAAATACCTATAGAATTATGTCATTAATATTACAGGCATATAGGCTATGCCATTATACCTGAAAAATATGACTGATAAAAAGTAAATTTATTACTAAAAGCCTTTTTTTTGTGCCGAAAAACTAAATATTACTTTCATACTTACTTATAAAGTATTTTACTGAATTGTCAAGATAAATTTCGGAACTCACAATAATTAAATAAAATATTAGTAAACACTGACCAGTTTGGTGAAAACTTGTAAAACTTTTGGCGGGATGCGAATCGTTTGTATTATACGGATATTTAAGATTGCCATACGTTGATTATAGCCATCGTATAAATGAAAGGTTGTTTTTAAATATGTCGGTTAATACTGTGGATAAAAGAGTTCTTTATAGTGTCTTGACCAGTTGTAACGAAAAATAAAATTCATTAATATACTTAGTTTTTCGTTATATTATTATAATATTTAAACAATGTTTAGCCACTAAAATTTTATTTAAAAGAAATATATGTATTGTTTAATATTATATATTTCAAGTTACGGTAAAAACCGGAATTGACATTATAAGAAATCCAATAACGCCATTCACTCCAATCGATCACGAAAATTGTCTTTGGAATCGAACATTCGTTGGTGTATACGAAAATGATAAAGAGTAACGTTACATGCGAAATTTCGTTTTATTTTCGTTCGTAAACGAAATTTCGTTTTCGAGAAAGCGAGTAGGCCTCCTGCTTATACTAATATTGTGTTTTAACAATTATATTCTTAAATAAAGAAATTGTTAAAATCGAATCTTTCTTAAAATTATGTTAAAAATATTATCCTTGCCTTCCTTTTCTAAGCTGGTGGACGCAAAATGGACCACTGGTGGACACAATAAGACTTTTGTGGACGCAAAGTTGGTAAAACGGCTAATTCAGAAGTTTGTCTATTTAATAAAAAACCCAAGATGTTTCGAACAAACTAAATGTTAACTTTAAAATAGACTATATTTCATTATTTTTCTTTGAAATTAGTACTGGGACATTTTTATATTCGTTTTTAAACCTGCCAACTCCACTAAATGAACGCGGACAAGCAAAATGCCTCTATTAGGTGATTGAAATAATGTCTACGAAAACCCATAAACAATAACATACCATTATGTTGTTAAATCTCAAAAGAAGAAGGTGCATGTTTATACTCACATTGTTCCTAATTGTAAGTCAGATTGAGTCTGAACAATTATGGGTAAATTTCAACAAGTCCCTTAAAATCATCATTTCCGTGGATTTTTTTTTCTTTAAAGATTAAGGAAAAAGAAAACGTTTTTTTTTTAGTTTTTGATAATATATGTATTCTTGCTTAATATCTAACAGATAACTTAAAAACTGAACTAGATATACTAGATTAAAAATCTCGTGTCACGGCAATAAAATTTGCAAGCACAGCAATGAAACAAAAGTCCACGACAATGAAAGAACTGTGTGCCACGGCAGTGAAATCAATCAACGGAAATGAAAATCCATATTAAACACGCCTAATTATTATTTTATAAACTTACACTTGATTCACAATGTATACTATCCTCCTAATATTATTCTTCTAGTGAACTAACTACACCTTCTCACAAAATATGATATTATATTTTGCGAACTTAGTACCTATTTGTAATTTATCTGCGTAAAAGGTAAAGGAGTAAAATGAAATAAATAGTTAATAGAATAAAAGCAGAATCATTTATTTCAATTCTTCTACAAAAAAATATTAACAAATAGGATTTTCAAAACATGCAATATCAATTGCATGAACTACAAATAACTTACATAACACAACATGATTTTTCAATTTGCACATCAATGCAAAGCAAAACGATAACATTTTTAAAATCTTAAGATAAAATCTAGGCCACCGTCTGTCTTCGTTTTTGTTCGTTCCTTTACATGCTGTATACGTGTGCTAGAGTATCTAAAGATCAATATTTATGGTTCACATGGAAACATTTTTTTGTAGTTGACTGTACAGTAAAACGATGAGTTTACATATAAAGATGTTAAGAAAACATCTTTATATGTAGCTGTATTACATATAAAGATGTTTTCTTTGCTTAACCATACCATAGCGATGAAAACAAAAGCCACGGAAATGAAACATCTGACCACGGCAATGAAACTAAATTTTTTCACAAGGCATGGCAATGATTTTTTTTTCATTTCCGTGTCTTTTTTTCATTACTATAGCAAATTTTGTCCACGGAAACCGTGGAAATGAAAGCATGGCGATGAAAACCAAGGCAAAAATATAAAATAACAAAAATGTATCAATAATTCGACGTAATAAATCCTTCTCAAATAAACAGAACAGAAATGGCGAATATCAGAATACTTAATCAAGAGGATAAACTTATTCAAATGGAAGTTATACCTAGCCACGTCGATGAAAGAAAAAGTGTCTAGTGATTTAAAAACTGAATACTTACATTAATGGCGTGAAAACGCAGGCACGTATGTAAGTCCGGGTATGGGTAACCGTACACCGTTAGATAAAACAAAATCATAAACATGCTTAGGCCACGTCGATGAAAGGAAGTTCTGGGACAAATGGATTTTTATCGCCTATTCGTTTTATTGTTTAAATATTTGAATAAATGTATTCCGTAACAATACTTTAACTATTCACGTATGAAATAAAAGTATGATATAATATAAATAACCAATAGATTTTTATCAATAAAGTATAATACACATCAAGGTGGATTGTGGACAATCACGGGAATAAAATATTTCGATGTTCAGTAATTTTTAAGTAAGTACTCATTAATCCCATTAATGTAATATTTAGTGCTCCACATAATTAACTATTTCACCTAATCAGAAAAAAATTAGAACATTATAACTAGGTTTTTAATACCGATTTCATCGATGGCACGCAATTTTTTGTGCCGGGAAACCCACCCTTATATTGGCGGTTATTTTTACAATTAAATGTTACAAATCAAGAAAAGTTTGTTTATAAGCATTTTGTCCTCCAAAAAATTTGCTATGGGACCCGCTCTGACTTAATCCGGCACTGGATTCGGCACTTGCCTAGGGTGTTGTTGACGATTTTTAACAGGGTTAATTGTTTTATCTCACTATATAAAAAGGCACCGTTATAACAAGCAAAAAGATTTAAACAGAACAGTAAAAACTCCTATATAATGAGTCATCATTCCTTATTTCTCCATTTGTTACTCTTAAAAATTTATCGAGAATACAACAAAAAATTGGTAGTAATATAAAAATTGGTAGTAATTATTATTAAAGGAAATAATAATGTACTGACAATCAGCAGCAGTCAAGTTATCAAATATGTTCAATTTAAAATAACTTGCAAATAGTTCACAGTTTGATAGTTTTAGTAGATCGAGGCCTACTCGCTTTCTCGAAAACGAAATTTCGTTTACGAACGAAAATAAAACGGAATTTCGCATGTAACGCTACCCTTTATCATTTTCGTACACACCAACGAATGTTCGGTTCCAAAGACAATTTTCGTGATCGATTGGAGTGAATGACGTTATTGGATTTCTTATAATGTCAAATTCCGGTTTTTACCGTAACTTGAAATATATAATATTAAACAATACATTTATTTCTTTTAAATAAAATTTTAGTGGCTAAACATTGTTTAAACATAAAATATTATAATAATAAAACGAAAAACTTAGTATATTAACGAATTTTATTTTTTCGTTACAACTTATCAAGACACTATAAAAAACTCTTTTATCCACAGTATTAACCGACAAATTTAAAAACAACCTTTCATTTATACGATGGCTATAATCAACGTATGGCAATCTTAAATATCCGTATAATACAAACGATTCTCATCCCGCCAAAAGTTTTACAAGTTTTCACCAAACTGTTCAGTGTTTACTAATATTTTATTTAATTATTGTGAGTTCCGAAATTTATCTTGACATTTCAGTAAAAAACTTTATAAGTAAGTATGAAAGTAATATTTAGTTTTTCGGCACAAAAAAAAGGCTTTTAGTAATAAATTTACTTTTTATCAGTCATATTTTTCAGGTATAATGGCATAGCCTATATGCCTCGTAAAATCTGTAATATTAATGACATATAATTCATGTAATTTCAGTCTTCGTCAATTTGAGGTAAGAATTCCGAAAAATTAGATGTCAAAGTCAAATGTTCGTTTTGTCATTTCGTGAAATAGAGTAGGTTTAGAAAATAAATATGTCAAACATTTTCGTTCGTTGAATATTCGGAACGAATGTAATTGTGGTAGGAAACGTCCGAAGTTTCGAACGAAATTTCGTTTTTCGGTGAATTAGAGTAGGCTTACTTTTTAGGTAGTTCATAGTTTGATAGTGTTTGCGTTGGTGTGTTATAAAGGACAGATGACCTAGTTTCGGGTAATTTAAGATTTAAGAGAATATAAACTTAGTCACATAACAACTTTCAACGGTTTTAGTTTCACCATAATGTAACATTTTTAAAACCATTCACGGTAAAGTAATATATTTGCCTATGCGTTAGTTAAACGTGTGAAGTACCAAATGGCCCTGAAGAGTAGAGTTATTGTTGGTTATTTCTATAACCATGGAGTAGACCTATAACCTACAATAACTCTTTCAATTTCTATAAATGCTTCTACATTTCAGTCTGCGATAAATGTTAAAAATATTTCGAAATGCAAATAGACAGTGGAATATGAAGAATTATTTCTGTATAATAAGTAATTTTTAGTTGTTTCATTCATCATACAAGTAAAGAAACTCATGCTTAAGTCTTATAAAATAACTTAGATAGAATAATAATTAAATGTACCTAGGTGCATACGAAATAAGCGGGAGTGTGTTTATTATTTTGATTGTAACAATTTGATATCATAATTCTCACCGCGTAAGACAGCAGTTCAACAGCCAATATCACTAACAGTAAATATCAGTATACAAAAACTAATTATTTAGCACATTGTCTTCTCGGCTTCATTGTAATTTTGTATCCATCGAGGGCGACTACTGATATACATATAGTCACGCGCAAGTCTTTGTAGGTGCTCAGAGAAGTCAGTTCGTATTCGCGTAGTATCCTCGTGCAAATTGTCTTCACTAGTTTGGTCCCGAAATATCTTCCTGTAAGTTAAATTGCGGCGTTAATATAAGTAACCTGCTTTCCTAAAACTAGAAAAGAATCGTTGGATAGACCTTTTTTAGTTTCATTGTGATAGAAGACCACAGAATAAGAAAAAAGTTAAGACAGTGTTTTATTACGTTTATACTTATTTCTGCCCTTCCGGATATAGTCATCATCATCATCATCATCATCATCATCATCATCATCATCATCATCATCATCATCAGCCCTTTTACGTCCCCACTGCAGGGGCTCAGGCCTTCCTTATGGATGGTTAAGGAGGATGGGCCATGACCCTCCACGCTGGCCCAATGCGGATTGGAGGGTATTAACGACTGCTAATGCAGCCGGGACCAACGGCTTAACGTGCCTTCCGAAGCACGGAGTAGCTCGAGATAATAATTTTTTGGTCACCCATCCCGTGACCGACCCTTGCGAAAAGTGGCAATGTTTCTTTTTAAATTAATAGCTGCTTTTCATTAAATAGTATTTTGGATGTGGCCTTGTTATGATCTATTATATAAAACATAGTATTCACCCAAACAATCCATAGGTCCTAAGCTAAATGGTATGTATGCGTTATTGTGGCCACGATCTGTGTTCTCCGGGTTGAATCTCTCCGGATCAAATGCTTCAGGGTTGTCCCAGAACCTCGGGTCACGGTGTAGATGGAAGATGGAAACTGTCATAGAGGAACCGGCAGGTAGATATCCAGACACTGCAAATATAAGTTGAATAGGTTGAGCCGCTGAATGTACTTTTTTATGTTCTCTTAAAGTAGCTTGATTTTGCAGTAATTAGCGCGTATGGTCTATGATGCGGCCAATCATGGTATGGGTCACCAAAAATTTACTATCTCGAGCTCTCAATTTTTTAGAAATAAATTATTATGCGAGTGTTGAAGGATAAGTATCGTATCGTTATCTATAGACTTTTATATTGTTTGCGTAGAGTACTGACTACTGTTGACTGATATGGGGGTAAGCCACACATAGACTGCATAATAAAACAACTTCATTACAGCAAAACGCACTACTAGCAGTATCTGTGTTATTGTTTGTTTTTATTTGATCTAGTTTCCTGGTTACATACTTTTATGAGTAGTCCCTTTTTCAAATTAATCAATCGAGTCGTACTACAGAAATAATTATGTTGTTCTGTTTTTTATTATTTAAATAAGATAATAAGTAAGGCTAAATAAGTAAGGCGATTTAGTGTGTTGCTTTAGCAACCTACAGCTATAAAATTATCGAGTGATTTAAAAGCCAACATTTAGCAGTTTGCGATGGGATAATAAAGTTTAATTTTTATCGATGGTCACCTGGGACCAGACGTTCATTAAATTATATTTAGTCTACGGATAAACTTTAAAATATTTATTTTATATATCATTTAAATTTATGGTAATTAGATTTTTGCGTAGATTGTTTTTTTTGTACGTTCAATGGAAATATCATCCTTTAGCTTCAGTTTTCAAATCAAAACTTTGACGCATATAAATAACTATAAAAGATTTTCACCGCGAATATAGTTATTAATTCGTATTATTATAATATAATCTTACATATAGCGATATCCTCTGTCACAGTCCTTTGTAACATGGCACCGATCGGGAACAAGCGCAATGTCTCCTTGAATACCATTTCCAGATAAGGCATTCTCTTGAGGTCATCGTCGGTGACATCACGATCAGAATCTCCAAGTACACTCTTTATTTCATTGTAGAGTTTTTCCTAAAACATATATATTTAAAATTTTATCATACAATATACATAAGTCTACCGAAAAAAAATAAAGTATTCGTTTGTTTTATAAGAAGTATAGTTTGTACTTTGTAAAATACTTGCAGACCTGACAATCAGGATGATATGCCATCATAAGAAGTAAGAATGAACAAATCTTTGCTGATGCTTCTTGACTCTGGAACAATATTAGTAATTTAGATAATATAAATAGATACTTTTAAAGTTAGCATTCACCGCTCGTGTTCCCGCGGTGCGGACGTGTTGCTTCACTAATTGATGCGGACGCGCATGCGTTTCGATTTATAGTTACAACTGTGCGTTGCTTAAGTGATTGTGGTAAGAGTGCGATCATTGAAACCCTTTAGACATGGTTCAATGTAAGATGTGTAAATTTTCACTGTCACGTATTAAACAAGATGCAATTTTGAGATGTAGGGGTACGTGTGAGGTACTTTTCACAAAAAATGGGCAACAAAACTTAAAGCATTCGGTGAAACTGGGATGTGCGACGAATGTCAAATATCATCGTTTAAAAGACCTTTATTGACATTGATCTCTCGAAGACCACGCCTGAAAAACTAGTAGCCGAATTAAATGAGAAATTGGCCATAGTATTTAACATGAAAAACACTTTACAGACTATATCTGAAGAAATAAGTTTTTATTCTGAAAAATACCAAGAATTATTCGAGGAAAAGGAGAAAACAGATAAAAAAATAAAATCATTAGATTACAAAAGCAGACAAACGGGGGGCAATATAAAAGCGCTAGAAGAAAGAATAGTCTTTTTAGAAAATCGTGATAAATCAAAGAATATAGAAATAATAGTATTACAAGAACATGAAAATACAGGGTTTATAATAATAAAAATAGCCACTAAATTAAAAATTGACCCAGAAACTGTAATCGACGCGAAGAACAACAAAAAAAAACTATTGATTTGCGTCCAGCCGGTGTCAGAGCATGACGTCCATATAAACGCAAGTCACCATACGTAACTGCACAAAATATTTTGCTTAGGATTAAAGAATCTAAAAGAAACCTAAAAGAAATTTGAAATAATAGGCCTTATATTTTTTTTCTTTAACTGCCTAATACATATTATACATGTGTATGCAAACGAATTAAATTCAACGATCATTCGGAATCTATAAAATGTAGTATAAAATACAGAAAATACACAGACATACAGTCGTGGCAAGAAGATTTAGAAAAACCGCACAGGAATTTTAATGTTGTTCATTAGAATATAAGATCCATGAGAAAGTACTTTGATCAATTTCAAATATTAATTAGTAGATGTAAGGAAAAACTGGATTCATTGCGTTGAGTGAAATAAATATAAAGCAAAATGAAGTGTTTATATTAATTAGAAGGATTTAATATGTATGTTAAAGTAAGAAAAGGTACTTCTGGTGGAGGATTACTTTTCTATATCAATAATAAATTAAATTTCTTTGAAATATCAGTGAATATAGGCCACCGAATACAAATAAATACAGATTCCTAGAAGAAGTGCAGCGTATATTAACCACAATTCCAATGGGTTGTGAGATGATAATAGTGGGTGACATAAACATTGATTTGTTGTGCCAAGCAGGTTTTAATAGTGTCATAAACCAGTATCAGAATAACATGAGTGAATTAGGTATGGACTGTGCTATAAGGGATGTAACGAAGGAAGAAATATATGGCGATATTGTTACACGTACCTGTGTCGACCATGCATGGATTCGAACCCAGCGTATGTGTTACGGACACGTACTGACCAATAAGTTGTCAGATAATTACCGGCGTCAGCCTTTCAAAGAGTTCAGATAGAACGGGTAAGCGGACTGTTGTTGTATTGTCTGATACAAATATAGTGGGACAACTTGAAGCTGTATTGTGGTCTTAGTTATTGGAATGTACATGCCCACAGCAGTTATATGATAAATTGTATTTGATTTTTTGAAGGGTATATGAAAGTGCAAAAATTGATATTTTGAAAAATAAATAAAAGATGAAGTAAACCCTGGATAACAAATAAATTAAGACTTATGATTCATACTAGAGGTAAAATGTTTAGGAGCTGTAAAAGTAATCTAAATACGAGTTTGTTTGGGTACAGTATAATATATATAGAAATTTAGTACATAAATATATATAATATTTGGCAAAAAGAAAGCAGGAGGAAATCAAACAGTGCAATAATGATATTAAAATATGGACAAAATTAAACTCATGGACTGGACAGGTAAAAAAGTCTTTAGATTCGAATATTATTAAGTATTTAGGCAAAACAGATAGTGTTAAAAATATTTGTAATAAATTTTCAGCTGAATTCACTAAATAAATCTTGGATATTAAACAGGTGTGTGGACTAAAATTACTATGTAATTCGACCTACAGGTCGAAATATGTGCAAACTGCAGAGGTGTTTAAGACGGTTTTAAGGTATTGACGAGCATGTCCGAATGATATAGAAAAAGATATTAAAAAAATAATTTTAAATAAATCGCTGGGAGAAGATAACATTAGAGCAAAAGAAATAAAATTATTGAGTTATAAAATGTACACAAAACTTTATAGAAAACGTAATCTATGCAAAATTCTTTGAAAGAAACGTTAGCGCTGATTACTTAAGAATAAACGCAATTTAGTATAGCAAAGCTTAAATTTCTTACTACATTTTATTTTAAAACTCAATCTTGAGCAAAACAGTTCAAAATATATAAAAACATTTTTCCATTAGAACAATTTAAAAACAAAAATTAAATATTTTGTTTCGTTATAAATTACATAAACACCAATTTTCATCGCTATGTAATTTAATATTTGTAAATAATATGAGATACATTTATAAGTGACAAGTGAAACAATGGTTGCTAGGGTAATATTTCAATTCTCCATAAAAACTTCCACTCCCGTTTGTCACCACTGTAAGTGGTGGTTTTCGGTATAAAATATAACATTATGTTTTCAGGGCCTAAAACTACTCAAATACTTATTTTTATCGATTCAAAAACAAAAAAGTTTCATAGAAACGTTTCAGCCCGCTTGTCAACTCGAGCATATTTTAAAGATTGTCCTTGCGGTTTATTGATAGTCATTGCAAAACAAACATTTAGAGGGAACTGCAAGCGTTTCAATTGAAATGTAATATCATTCGATATTAGGGGGATGAGCGGCATAAATACAGTCTCACCTCGTATCCTAAAGTAGTGAATTATATAGGAACTTAAGTTCAGTTCATATCTCAAAAACTTTTATATCCTCCAATATATTTCTAAAATCTACTGGAGCTAGGTCACAATCCAGTGAAACAAATAATTTCAATGTTTTAAATCTAAACCTGGAGCAAAATTTTAATGTTTTTCTTGATTTAAAACCTGCGTAAAGTTCTTTGATCAAAATAATATAGAATATACTTGCCATCAGGCAAGAATTCATTTGACGTTCGTTAACAAAATTACTTGAATTTGAACATTTTTATCCATTGAAATTTCAAAAATGTAAATCGCTATACAATAAAACATTACTTAAATAATATGAGGTAAATTTATTACAATGACAAATCAGATTGTAAACAATGGTTGGTATGGTAATATTTCGAATCCCCAAAAAAAGATTCACACCTGTGTGGAACAAAAAGGAGTTTGGACTAACTTTTCGTTTCTTCGATAACTCAGGGTATTAAGCCGCTGGTCGTAAGTCTCCCGCGTTGTTCTGGGATGATTTTGTTATCGTCCTAACTGCTCCTTCACACAGCGTTGATTTTCTGTGTATTTGCTGTATACACTTTCGCGCTTCAAGATTTGGTTGGAATGGGACCTTACGGGATCGACCATTCGCTATGGCGGCGGAGATGCAACAGACAGTTCTCAGTGACTGTCAGTCTACCCTCGATTATTTTATATTTGTCCAAGTTAGGGAAAGGTAGGTAGGCAGATGAATACAGTTGTGTTACCATATTCAATACTTTGTTTGTAACGCATTTTGAAACCGAACAACACCCATTTTATTAATTTTAGTGCTAGTTTTCGGGATTAAATATAACCTATTACCATCCTAGGGTTATAAACTACCCAAATACCAATTTTCATCGACATAGGTCTATAAACAAAGAAGTTTCATATAAACTTTTCACCCTTTTTGACACCCTTCGGAATGGAATTTCCAAAAATCCGTTCTTAGTACACCTCTACGTATAACACACCTAAGTGACAAGATGAGGTCGGTATTTGTGAGATTCCATCATCTTAGCTTTATATTGGACAAAGCAACTATGTATATGGTTTATTATGCGCTATTTGACTCGCTACTCTCATATGGATGTTTCCACATATGGTCATACTTTTAAAACTTATTTAAATAAAATTATTACAAATCCGTTTCTTAAAAAGAATAGTAATAAAAATACAAAAGATTTGTGTAAACCTAGTAATAATGAAACCCATTGTATAATTTGAGACTTGAAAAGCTCTAGAACAGCAAGGAGTCGAATGGGGATACATAGAGCTGCTGTGCACATATATTCAAACATGAAAGCAAAAGTCAAACTAGAAAGAGAAGGAACAGAATTTCTTATCGAGAAAGATGTCAGGCAGGGTGACCCTATTTCACCAAAACTTTTTTCGAACGTTTTGAAGTCGATATTTAGAAAACTTGATTGGAAAAAGAAAGGTTTGAAAATATATGGAGAATATTTAAGTCATCTTAGATTTGCAGACGACATAGTCGTTTTTTTTTGCAAAGCTGTACAGAGCTGAAAAAAAGATAAATGAATTAGCTAATATAAGCAAAAAAGTGAGCTTAGAGCTAAACTCACCAAAAACAAAAATAATAACTAATGGAACAATAGAGGACACAGTAGTTGGCAACCAAAAAATAGGATATGTAAATGAGTTTATATATTTGGGACAAATGTTTTCATTTGAAAACTGTACAAGTAATGAAATTCAAAGAAGGACAGCTATTGCATGGAAGAAATACTGGAGTTTTAAAGAAATTATTGTAAATATAGAAATACCTATCAATGTGAAAAGAAAACTATACGAAACTACTATCCTTCCTTGCTTAACTTATGGTTGTCAATGTTAGTCCCTCAAAAAAGAAAATGAAAACAAACTAGCCATAAAACAGGGGAAAATGGAAAGAAGTATGCTGAGTATAAGACAGAAAGAAAAAATCGAAAGTTCAGAAATCCGCAACAAAACAAAGCTCGCAGATGTCATAAAAACCATAAGATCCCTTAAATGGAAGTAGGCAGGGCTCGTATGCAGAACAGATGATAATAGATGGACAAAAAAAGTAACTGAATGGATACCGAGAGATGAAAGAAGAGGAAAAGGCAGACCGAAAAAAAGGTGGGAAGACATTTTTATAGAAAGAGCAGAACCATGCTGGATGACAAGAGCCAGACATAGAAACCTATGGAAAACAATGGGGAAGGCCTACGCCAAGAAGGCGACTACTATTATTAAAAACTAATAAAAATAAATTAAAATATAATTTATAATAATTGAAAATATATAGTTAAAAATAATAAATTAAAATAAAGTATAAAATTGATTAACTATCGTGGAAACGCTTATGTAATATAGTAGTAATAAAGGTTTATTTTATTTATTTATTTATTAGTAACTATGAAAAATTATTCATAGTATGTAATATACTATATACGCTCAAAGGGGGAGGCCTATGTTCAGCAGTGGACGTCTTCCGGCTGATGATGATGATGTAATATACTACCAGTCCATGAGAGAGTATCATTGTTAATAGCTCTGGATAATTTAAATAATGATAAGTTTAAGAAACCTGTGATGGACTATTTACAGAACAAATTATAGATATAATAGAAGAAAAAGGAAACTATTTTTAGTAGCAAAATATAACAACTATTTCGGTAAAAGAATTAATAAATATATATTGTTTAGAATTTATAACGAATTACCTCAGAATTTATTTGATAATTATATAACAAAAAAATCTGCCATACTTAAAATAGAAAATATTTACTTGAAAATTTTGAGAAAAATATCTTACAATAACAAAAGGTGTAATTTATAAGTAAAGGGGCAATGTGTGTAGATTATCTACTTATTAGATCACATTAAATGAGAATATATAAAATTGATCACTAAATTTGTCTTTAATTAAAGCAATGTTAAAAATTAATTTAACTATCTGTTTTATGTTGTTGTACGTATGATATGTCGTTGAATCCAACAGATGTTAATTAGAAAACTATGATATGTAGTTGATCAATTGTGCATGCCATTTAAGATGTTCTGATTTCTATAACACAATTGTGACAGACAGTTTATCTGAGTAGTACAGTGTTAATTATGTAAAGGGAGCTTGGTCTGCCAATAAACTGTTAAGCAGTTTGGCGGGATTAAAAATGTTTTTTCTGTCAATATACTGACTAAGTGAATAAAACAAAAAAAAAGTTCTATTTTAGAGTAATAAAAATGTAATAGAGATTAAATTGCTAGCGATATTCTACTTTGCTCTTTGCCTCACTGAACCCAACTGTCCCTAAATGTAATTGATATTGCAACTGTAAAGAGATGATAAGTTTGTTGTGCACATTTCTCTTTGCAAGACGTCATGAATGGGTGGCGAGAATGATTGTATGTTTGTTTGTTTAATTGTAATAAATAGGCTCAAGAACTACTGGACCGATTTTAAAAATTATTTCACCTTTCGTAAGCTACATTATCTACGAGTAACATGAGCTATATTTTATTTTAGAAAAAAAAATAGGATTCCGTAAGATATTTGGGTTTTTCGGAGACAAGGTGTATTAATCAAACAGAAAAGTTACTTATTTTGCGTACGTTGCCTAAACTTTAATAGATAGAATCATAAAATGTTCTAATTAATTGTAGATTTTATAAATACCTACAAAAAAAGTCCGCGACACACTATACCTATCTATGTCGAGTGAGACACAACAATCATATTTTTATTTAAAAATTGAACTTTTTTTGGACTACATTTAAGTGCGTTTATTTTACTCATGCTCTTAATCCTTATCAAAATAAATTACTCTCTTACTAAGTACAGCTTATGTAGATAATATTTGGTCTTTGAATGATTAAAATTGGACGTTTGGTTTTGAAGTTATGGCGAAATTAAAATATTACGATTTCTGCTGCACGGTCCGTTGCGAAGTGGACATCACCAAGCCGGGGGTGCGCGTGCGGGAGGGGAGTTTAGATCTATGAGTAAGGTAGCAGTGGACCATGCGGGCGAAGCTGCTGGCGGAAAGCTAGTTTAGAGTGTAAATGCATAATTTAATAATGTTTGCTGCTAATACTTACAGACGTGAAAATAGTGAATGTCTCTGTTATTAGTGTATCTTTATCAAGTTCTCCGGACAATATAAACCTGTCTATAACGCTGAGAATAGCATCTTCCTGCATTTCCATATGTTCTAATTTGAAATCCTCCCTAATGTTTTTTAAATGTTCCTTCCTGCACTTTATGACATCATTGCTGAAATTCTCAATAAGTCTCATGAACATGCTCATGTCCCTGAAACGGCTTGACATCCGGAATACTGGATCTATCTGAAGGTACCATTTCGTCATCCGATCAAAAATTATTTCGTAGATACTGAAAGGAGAAGACGAATATTTTGAATTAAAAAAATAGGTAGAAGATATAAATAACATTATTATAACCATCATGAGACTTATTTTTGAAATCCTTTGATGTTCTCTATTTGGGAAGGAAGGAAGTGGGCGCATTAATGGGCTAATGATAATGATTATTCAAAGAATTAGAATATAGATCAGTGAATGCATCAATTGAAAATTTGTTGTTCTAGGGTTTAATTTTGATATAGCACAAAAAATATCTCAAATCAAATTTATTTATTCAGTCTAGGCACAAGTACTCTGTTACAAGCACTTATGAAAGTTGAGCGCTCCCCATCGGTTCGTAAATATGTATACGGCGGAAGAATTGGTACCGAGAAGAACCGTCAAGAAACTCGGCAAAGGCTGCTTTTTTTTCAAGATCGCAAAATGACTTCATTAAAATATGAAGTCACTTTCCATTATAATAGATTTTAAAAAAATTGTAAAACAGTATATAAGTCAATCGAAACACATAACTAGTCAAAAAAGGTCACCAATAAGTAATTAATATACATAAAAACAAGCCATATTAAACACCAAACAGTTTTGTTGTTTAAATATTTATTAACAGTATAATATCCTTTACTGGGTAGACAATTCTTAATCTGGGTTTTAAATTTAAACATTGGTAATTTTAAAATTGCCATAGGAATTTTGATATAATAGTGTATACCTTGACCCATAAATGTTGATAGAACTTTCTTTAGCCTGCATGATGGTAAAAAAAGTTTATTTTTGATTCTAGTATTAAAATAGAGTACATTACTAATTTAATGTAATTGTATATCAATTGAGAGGCTACTGTTAATATGCCAATTTCTTTGAATTTATCTTTTCTGGGCATAGATATAACCAAATTATATTCTAATTATATACACTTACAATTAGAATTTATCAAATAGATAGATAGTTTTAGTTCCATGTTGGCTCCCAGTAAAAGATGAATTTAGAAAATGCTAATCTCATCTCAACCCCAAGAAATTGTAAAATTGCCCAACTCTTTTAGACTACCTAACGTTCAAAATTTCAACAAAACGATTATAAATATTTCTCGTAACTAAAATGTTCTGAACTGCTGCTTCTGAGATCCTCTTTTTTCTAATGTTATAATGAATGGAGTATAGAATATCTACATTAAAATCACCACATACAACCAAATATTTGTTTTTAGTCTGTAATTTCCTAAGTACACTTTCCATTACAGATTCAAATATACTACAATTATACTATTTATCTCCACACGGGATAGCTCAATATGAAGTTCTACTGATTCACTTTATCTTTTCGCCCCTTAACTTGAAATTATTATTTACAAATATTATTGATCCTCCCTGCTGGGCTCTCCTCCGTGTATATAAACATGTTTTTAAATTAAATAATTTTTCACAAGGTCTCAGCTAATGCTCCGTTAAACAATATATATGAACATCTTGTTCGTTTGCAAATAATTCTAATTCCAAATCTTTGCCAGTCAAACCCTGAAAACTTGGGGAATAATATTAAAATTAGTAGATTTGACTGTTGTCTTACCCTTCAGTTAGAACTGAGTTTGAAATGGCTATAGTACTACTTAAATTAGTAGAATTACTAACACCATAGTAAGACTTTGTTATATCAATTATAACAGAATTTTGTAAATTAAAAGCAAACAAAGTAGCTATCAGAGTCCTACATAACTTTGGTAGATACATAGTATCTATTGTAAACTTAAATTTACTAATGTATTTGTTAATGTCAAAATATAAAATATCTCTGGCATGGATCTCACAAAATAAAAAAATACGTACTATGGTGTCTGATCAATTAGTTCTTGTAAGCCCGGCAGACTCATAGTTTGCTCCTTAGTTAAACCCATGAGACTCCCTGAAATTATGAAACTTTATATATGGGAAAATTTGGGAAATTTCATAATAATTAAAACTTTACAGGTAAAGGAAAATGATATAATAAGCAATTTGATTTGTAACAGAATTTGAAAATTAAATTATACTAAAGCACTTGTTGTTATCCATACCTTTGGCTGCATAATAAAAACGAAATAATGAAATTCTTTTTCGCAGTAAAAAGTAAACAATATCACTCTCCATTTTCCCAATTATTTTTATTAAAAACATTTTTTTCCTTTTATTTTGGTGGTAATTTATTCAATGATAATATTATTAATAGGAAAACATTATGTAGGAGCATAGATTTTTGCTTCATAATGTTTTATACTTACGGCACACTGAATAGCTAGTGGTTTTGACGATGTCTTTGTAAATATCAAACTCGACATTCATAGGCTTTTTCCTGAGCTCTTCCATGAGTAAGTCCACCTCGTGATTGAAGATCTGACCGTAGTGTTCTATAGCCCGTTTGCCATAGTTCGGGTTAGCGATTTTGCGATGTCTCCTCCATTCCGGACCTAACCAGAACATAAGAGAATAACATTAACACAGTTTTTTGCTTTAAAATCTTCTCTCCATTTTTAAACACATCTAATTTTTAAGATACGGCTATGATTATATGACCAACTTAGGGTTAAGTTTTGATACGGAATGTATTTCTCATTAGTAAATACCTATGTGCTTTGATATACTAGTACTTACCTGAACCACTCAAAATGCCTCCGCCTATAATATCTGTCATATACTTGTATTGTGGCCCTTTGCAACTAAGTTTAGTATTTGTAAGAAGAATCTGAAGTCAGAAAGAAATGTTTGGATTATTGCTTAGTACTAGGTAGGAATACGAGTTAGTCGTATATAACAATTCGTTTTTTTTACGATTTAATAAAAAAATATGTAATGTTTTATTTGTAACAAGGAACATCTATATAAATTTTTAGACTTCTAGCATTTTGAAGAAGTCTCATACCAAAATTTATAAATTTTGGTGATGGGAGTAAAAATTCCAATTTTAGATTTTTGTTGTTATTTATTTAATAATATTAGACTACATACGAAATTTCAGATTTTTAGAACTTCCGAAATTATCTTAAGAATATTGATGATCTTTAATAAAAGAGTGACTCTGTGTCAAAATCAGGGTTTATAAGATAACAATAAAATCCTCGTTACTGAAACTTTACACATTAATAAGTCTACTATTGAAATTATGTCACAAGAAGAGAACACTATAGTGACTCCTGATCAATAAATTAAATTATGCTTACTATCCATCAAATCACTTAACAAACCCGTTCAATTTACCTTGAGTTCATCAGGAGAGCCAATAACAAAGTTGAGATCAGGCCCCAGCCAGAATCTTATTACGTCTCCGTAATCTTCTTGCATTTTTTTTATTCTATTAATCATTTCTGAAAAAAAAAATGAATAAATGAAATATAAACTGTTTTCGTGTGTTAAAACTGAGCGCACTTTTGAGAGGAACAGGCACGGAGGTCAGCATCCTGCTAGTTGAGTTTTATTTGAAATGCGTTACTTAAAATATTATTAGGTAGTATAATAGGTAGTGGTATCTACTTTTATTCACAAGGGGAATTGTTGCTTTGTATCATTTCAAACTTTACTGATAGGGTATCGACCGCCGTGATTATACGTCAAAAATCATTAACTTTTAATTGAATTTGTACTACAATTACGTCCAAATAAATTGTAACCTAATAATTCAAGGTACCATCTCTGAGGTCCTGAGTTCGATACCTGATCAGGTCAATGTACAAAATGAACTTTTTTTGTTACCTTCGTTGTCACAGATACTTCATAATATGGGGGTTTAGCTACTCATCTTGGAATCTGAGCAGTGATGTTGTCTAATATTTATTTATTTCTAAGGATCTTCTTATATATAATATCTCAGGTCCACCTTCGTGGTTTCATGGATGACAGGTTTCCATAGTACAATGTCGAAATCTATTTGGTTTTGGATCTATTGCTTAATATTTATTATTTAATACTCCATTATCGACATATCGATCAGTGCTGTTACAGCATTAGACATGTTATTCAATAAAAGCTACTTCAAATGTAATTGTAACATCTAACAATTCCTGAGGATGCTGGATGGAGAGGCGAAACATGCGTAGAGTGGTAAAACGGTAAAACAGTAAACAAATATAAATACACGTAATTTTTTTTCTGGCAATACTTAATTTACTATTACCGTTAAAAATAATTATGAAAAAAAAACAAATATTTTAAATGTGTCTTGTTTACTTTGTAATACAGCTAAATTATTTTGTATGTAGACACGTACGATAAAGCACGCCACCACTGGTTACGAGATTCGATTCCGGTGCATTTATGTATGAGGGGTGCACAGCAGGTCTTGTAGATACTGACTGGGCGTGGAAGTTGCTAGATATTATAGTGTCACAGTTACTTCATAATTTTTTTTTTTTTAAAGCTGGTAATTTGTAAAGAAAGAGTCAGAGATGTATGATAGATGACTCATGCATTATCCATCGCGATCAAATTAGATCAATAATTAAAAGTTTGGAACATCTAAGTTGTTTTATATTTTATAATAATAATAATAGCATTTGTATTATTATTCGATCTCTGAATACCTTATTTTTTTAACTTTAAATACTTGTTTTATATCTTCAATTTTAAATTAAATTTTAATTCTAATGAATTGCTTGACATATTTTTAAATATAAGAATTGTAATAATGAATAATGTGTTTTTTTTTCATAATTTACTACTTATTTTTTTATTTATAATTTATTTTAATCTTAATGAAACCACTGGTTTTTTTATAATTTTATAAATTTACTTGTTTTGTATGCCAGAAATGGTAAATGTGCTGTACTTCCCTTATATCTTATGATAACCGCATTTGTACTAAATAAAAAAATACATACACACGTACCGGCCAAAATCATAACCCTCTTTTTAGTTTTGCCGTAGTCGAGTAAAAACACTACACAAACACCAATCAGTTTCTGAAGATTGTTATTACAGCGTTATTTATAATAACACGAATATAATTACCTGACATTTTCAATGGTAAGTGTAATAAAAATCATCTTAATGATTTTTAATATCGATTATATTGGTTGTAAGTCTGGTTTATATCAAGAAAAACTGTATTATCTAGGAAAAAAATGTAATTAGTGCCCATTTTTTATTGTTTTCGCTACGGTAAATCATATTCACGTTTATTTCTATATTCTAAACTACCTAACTTTTTAATAAGTCAGGTACCTATATAATTAGTCATATATAAGTACTAGAGAGTAAGGTGGCCGAAACCCTGGAAGTCCTTTTGTGGCAATCAGTTTTTGATAATGCAAACCAGTTACCGCTTTACCTAGTTTTATTTTTGTTGTATGTAAACATGTAGAAAAATTGTATAGTGTATATGAGCTTTTAACGGATTTTGATATAAATAGGATAGATGGGCACGATTTTAGCCATTTTAAGATTATGAACAGATTTTGGATATTTTAAAAGTAAAGATAATTTTATTACATCGCCGCTGGCAACGGTATAAGATTTTCCATAATTCAACATTTCAAAGACCATGTACGGTCAAATATATTTGCCTATATGTAAGTTGAAATGCCTTTAAAACCCAAATGGCCATAAGTGGTTAAAGCCAGGTCATCTGCCCTACTTTTGAACTGAGGTGAAGAAGACATAAATATAAAAAAGAAGTCCCAAGGTTGAGCAAGAAAAAAGAGAAAGTGTGAAGATTTAATCCGTACAATGAATGAAGAATGAAGACTCTTGTGTAGTACTGGTGTCCTAAGAATTTTCGGGAAACGATTTCTAAGTTCCTTTGCCGAAGGTTCTGAGGTGATCTGTACAAAAACTCGGCGTAAGAAGAAGGCTAAAACAACAACATTTTCTGTAACTGTATCTCTATAAAATATGTTTATTTCTATTTCATAAACTTTTATTTACCCTGCTACATGCTCATATGCATTAATGTTACAATATTCAGAGCAAATGACCTGGTTTTGGTCCATTTTACGAATAACGACAAATTGAATTTTTCAAATTATAAGACAACAGCTGTAGGATCAACGGTATTAATTTTGCCATAAAGTAACATTTTAAAAACCGTTTACGATAAAATAATATATTTGCCTATATATTAGCACAGATACACAATCTATACTATAGCGTTAGTAAGGACGTCTTGAAGTACTAAATGGCCAATAAGGAAGCTATTACCAAATACTGGGACCTTTACATTCTACATTGCATTGCAGATAATATAAAAAAATAAACTTGCGAATGAGCCATATTTCCAAGTGTTTACATATGCAAGTTTCTCTAATGAGCTTACATAAGAAAAGCAAACGTAACAAATTTGAATTATTATGTATCATTTATTAATCATGCGGAATGATTGACTGATTGATAAATTAGACATCAAACTGACTATGTTGTCACGCGCAATTAAATGATAATTAGAGCAGGTTGCACTGCTGACAATCATTCCATTAGAGGAATTATGAATGGTAGGGTCATTGCGGAAACCAACACGTACGGAATTAATTTTATAATTACAACACTTATAATTTGTTTTGTTTTATATCTTATAAAGATTATTCATTTATATTTATAATCCAAAAAAGAAAGATCTGATTGTTTGATTGTATTAAATAGGCTCCGAAATTACTGGACCAGTTTAAAGAGAGATTCTTTCACCTACAAATGCATCATATGTAGTTGATATATAATTTACGCGAGTAGTCACGGGAAAACAACTAGTAAAATTTACCCAGAATAACTTTTCAGCCAGCCGATGGCGAGTGTATTCTAAATCGCGCTATTATTTTAATCAAAAACATTAGAATGTTACACCAAGTTAAGATTTAAGAAATTGCAATTATTCGTTTCATCGGTAATTAATTTATTGAGGATAAGAATTGCTAGGTCTTACCCTAATATATTACATTTGTTCATTCATAATATGTAAGCACATTAGTATAGGTTTCCAAGTATGTATGTCGTGGCCAGAGGGCCAATTCTACTAAATAAATTTTGTTTAAATCGAATTGAAAACGGATCGAAAACAGACCGAAACCGAACGAATATACTGTTTTTAATGGTTTCTCTATTCTACTAAGTGACATACGATACAATTCCAGCTAAAATAGAACTGGAATTGTATCGTAGGTCACTTAGTAGAATAGGAAAACCATTAAAAACTGTAGTTTCGTTCGGTTTCGATCCGTTTTCGATTCGATTTAAACAAAATTTATTTAGTAGAATTGGCCCCCAGATCGTAGAATTGACTAATTCATGATGCGGCCAGCCATTTGCGGTAAATACAAATATTCCATGGAATGGAAAAATCTTGCTGCCTTCATCATAATGTGGGCTGACCCGATCGGCTGATAGTAGCTGATAGATTGGGCGGCTGATAGTATGACTTCTTCATGATGTGGCCAAGAGTAAGTGATCATATCGTAAAATAGTTACGTAAGTCTCAGTAAGAGGCGCTGATGTCGCATTGTTTTTGTAATACCTACATTGTTTATTTTAATTTTAAGGTTAAACAACAAATTAAAGAAAGTAGGGTGACTAAGTAATGGAAACAATTACTTGATTAAGTTTAGTAGTGAGATAAATGTAGGAGTGCAGTGCGAAGGTGTAGCAGCAAAGGCTATTTCTATAGTGTTATAGATATGTCGCAGATTACGATAAGGACAGGAATTGTGACCTACTCCAGAGGATGATAAAAATATATTAGAGGACACAGCCTAAAATTTTGGTCGTAGCGAATCTTTAGAAATTCTTCCTTGAAGAGAATTAAAGAGGTGAATCGTTTCTAAGAAACTTTTTGTTTATGAATCGATGAAAATGAGTTTTTGAGTAATTTAAGGCCTTGAAAAAATAATGTTATATTTTATACCGAAAACTACCACTTATAGGGATGAAAACGGGAGTGGAAGATTTTATGGAAAATTAAAATATTACCATAGCAAACATTGTTTATTTATTTGATTTGACATTGTAATAAATGTATCTAATAATATTGATAAATGTAAAATTACATAGCGAAGAAAATTGGTGTTTTTGTAATTCATAACAAAATAATATATTTTAAATTTGTTTTTCTTGAAGATGTTCAAATGTATTTCCGAAAGAATGTGTTTATGAAAAATATTCCGAAAATATGTGTTTACGAAAGAAAAAATATTTTTACGTATTTTGAACAATACTGTTTTGCTCAAGATTGAGTTTTAAAATAAAATGTAGTAAGAAATATAAGCTTTGATATACTAGATGGCGTTTATTCTAAAGTAATCTGCGCTACCGTTTTTTTAAAGAATTTTGTGTTTACGTTTTCGATTAAATTTGTGCTGAAACAA